TGCAACCTTCCCTTCCATCATTTTGATAGCAGTTTTATAGCAAGATTTTGAGTGTCAGTAGGTTTCCTTTGATATTTATACTATGTTCTCAAAACAAGCAAACTCAATAAAATAAAAATTGAACAACAACTTCTATGCCTGAAACCCAAGTTAATTGGGAAATGAATAAATGTTGAAAATAAAAATATAGTTCATACGGTTGTATGATAAAATGTTCAATGCACAATTTGTCTTGGATCATTTGATTTGATAAACTGAATATGGTAGAATATTATATATGATATACATGAATTTACTCTACTTAATCGTAGGAGAACAACTATTTACCTTACATTTAGTAAAGAATAATTGTTGACCTTATCAAGTAGAGAATAAGTACATATCTTATTATTTTAAGTAAAGACTCCTACACAAGGGGCACTTATTGTGTAATGTCATTAATGAAGTCGTCAATATATAGTTTTCTTCTTCTCACTTTTCTTGGTATCAGAGCCTCTATAATCTCAGCAGAGACTCGAATAACTTTTGGATTTTAAACAACCAAAAAATTTGTTGTCTCTAATCTGAAACTCATTCCTATAAAATGCCATACAACTTGATACTTCTAAGTATGTGCAACATTTTTTAAGAATTTTTTCCATGGCTTGGATAAATGGCTAGTGATAGATCAGTAGAAAGCTTTTGTGTAAGAAAATGAACTTGGCTCATTACTTGCCACCTTTCTACTTAAGTAACGTCTTGAAGGATTGAACTACTTTTCTTCCCCTGCTACGACACTAAGAGAATTTATCAGTTTAAGACGAGAAGTTTGTTTAATGCATTTCACTTTGAAGCTTTCTGTGCATATATTTTACTATGACAATTCATGATCACTTGAAGAGAAATATGTTTTTGTAATAAGGCTATAACTCAGTGTTCTCCTTATTTGTAGAGAACCCTCTCCAATATTCGTAGCCCCAGTTACATAGGTGAAGTAACTTGTGCAGCTGTTAATGTTGGTGACCTCCCTCCCTATATACATGCAATGAGGGTTCTTCCCTCAGATATGAACGAGCTCTGGGCTTTCGAAATTGATGTTCAGTACTCTGGTGGTGCAATATTAGACCTTGAAACGAGGCTTGAAGTTCAAGACCTTGATTTACATGAGGGGGACGAAGCAAGTTTAGATTTAAGTGTTGTTGATAACGTCAAATCAGATCTGTTAGAAGGTTTTGAACGCTTCAGTGAACAATTTAAGCATTCTGATGAGAACACAGATAAGATGGACCAAAGAAGTGATGGTGATATACTTGCACGTATGTAACAAAACCTTTTTTGGTTATTCATTGTGGAAAAATAAATAAATCGTTATCAGTTAGTAATCTAAAGTGCATTAATCAGGTAACTTTTCAACCGCGAGCAGAAGCTCTAATTGCTCTAGTAGCTCACTTCCTGGATCTAAGTGGAAATCAATCTTACATTCTGTGGCCAAGCAGGTTTCACAGGTTGGTTATAATGTTCTGCTTATCTCTAGCAATTTAACCTTGGGTTTCCCTGAAATAAACTTCCTGGCTTGCTGTGTTTAAACGCTTAACTTGCTGGTGGATGTCAATTGCTGCAACAAACGTGTTACAATACTTTTGAACCTATTGCAAAATTCATGGCTAGGGTACAACACTAGCTTTCGATCATAATTATCTATAATAATTGTCTCCTTGTTATGCTACAGAAAAAAGGAAGTAACTAAAACTCATTTCATAAGTTGACCTTTGGTATTTTCTCTTTGATAATTGATGAAAATAGAAAACGATAGTTAAAATGAGGATGCAAGGTGGTAGAGTTGGGAAATAAATTGTTGTGAGAATGGGATTGACTCATTATACAATCATGAAACTTGTGCTTCACTGATATTTTCCTATTGCCTGTATTACTAAGATATTCAGAAACTTATGCTCCTTTTTTCCTGTTTATGTTGGCTTTGCAGTAATGAATGGAAAATTTTATGTGTCCATCTTGTAGCTAGTGGAAGCAGCTCATCGATTTCTAACCATTGTATTTCAACATTCAGGTTCCACTCTCGTTGGGGATTAGGGTTGCATCTCTACGAGGAACACTGAGGTTATACGTAAAGCCACCACCTTCAGATCAAATATGGTTTGGATTCACAGCGATGCCAGATATTGATATCCATTTGAACTCTTCTGTTGGAGATCGTAAGATCTCAAGTGGACACCTTTTGCTGTTCATAACCAGTCGAATTAAGGTCAGTTTTAAAAGTAATCTGCTCTATTGTTTGAATGATATTCATCAAATAAATTGAGGTTGCCAGTCAGCTACACAAGCTTTTAGGTTCTGTGAATGACAAAGGTAGAATGTACGCTAAAATGGCCTGAAACTTAGGAGACAACTATTCCGTACTCTTGACAACTGACCAAAGATCCCATGTAAGGGCATGAGGTGCTATTGCCATCTGCTATTCTTCTCGTTCCTGATTTTCTTCAACTTAAAGCATCATAAAAGCTGCTTGACTTTAGTTGGCCCAATCAAAGTATCCACCTCATAAGATCCATGAGTTGATTTTGTGTAGATGGATGATACGTTAAATTGGTCTCAGATAGATCATCACAGTATCTATTTAGTGAAATTTATAAAGGTACTCAGAGAGTGATTTGGTTACTTCTTTCGTGGGGAGAGAGGATGATGGTACTCTATATGGCACCAACAGATGGTGTGCAAGTAGAATACACTAAAGCTCGTCTAGCCAGTTTATTACTTTTAGAACTTTTTCTTGTCTTTCTGTAGCACTACCTTACTCAATGACCTGAATTTTTTGCAAATCGTGCGGACTACAAAAGAAAAACCAACTTATCGATTTTAAGATTTTACACCAGGGGACGTGTTGGCAATTTTTCCATATATGTTCTCTTCTCTGCACCTACCGGCAACATTGTTTGCTTAAATTTTCTTGGGTGTTGAGCTGATGCTGTTGCAAACTGATGCAGGCTGCTATTCGTGAATCTGTTGTGCTTCCAAACTGTGAGAATGTATGCATACCTTGGATGATAGCGGAAAAGGATGACTGGGTTCCCCTAAAAGATGCTCCATATATATGGATTCATAACAAATCTGCAGGTAATGCTAAGAAACAAGAAGCAGATAGGAGAAGTACCAGCAGTAATGCAGAAAATGAACAAGAAAAACTGAACAGAGTTGGTGGATGGGCTACTCAAAAGAGCAAGTCCCTGGATCCACACTCTTTGTACTCAGCTCCTAAGGTTCAGCCTAGTTTCAGAAGCCTCACTACTAGTCCAGAAAGAACACACCTTAAGTCTAAAAAACATCACGGAGAGACACTACAACGCAAGTCATCGGACCCACAGGTATATTTATCAGTTCATATGGGCCAGTCTTCTGGAGCGGACTTGCATGCCCCTTTGTTGAGCCACAATGAACAGCTAGAGAGTCACCGCATGAGCACAGAGGAAATCATGCAAAGCTACTCACCTTCACCTTCTCATTCACTGAGTATGCTAGAGGAACAAAATAGTTCTACAGAAGATGAGATGAAGCCAAAAAGAACAGGTGCAAGGGCTAAGATGCTTGGTTTGCGGAAAAAAATGGGGGAAAAGCTTGAAGAGAAGAAGCGTCACATAGAAGAGAAAGGGATACACTTGGTGACAAGGATGAGAAGCCACAAGGAATATTCGTAAATCTGCAGTGCAGTTCACAGGTCAGTGTGTTCAAAGGCTGTTCAGTTTAGACTATAACTTATTCAAGTAGCTGACGAGAATTGGATCCATACTCGGTCTTGTGGCCTGATCCCCTTGGTCGAGGTTCTCTTCTCACTTGTAAAAGTAAAGATCATAGCCATTAGGAACCCATTTCAAGTACAGCCACATAGTTGATAATGATTTAAACTTCATAGTCTTGCAGAAACGATGAATATATACAATTGTACCAAATCAGATTTATCAAACGAAAAATGGTCTGTTAAATGCCAATGGGGCAAGGCAACCCATGTTTGCACTTGCAGTAGGCAAATAGAATGGTCTATACAAAAAAGGTCTTCAAAGTAACACGTACCAATTGGAATGCAGGTTTATTGTGTTCATTTTTATACCTTAGAGATCTTGAGAACCTCTCATCTCCTCCCAATCAAAATTGTATAATTGCATGTGTCTTTAATAGGACATTCTCACGATTAAAAGGAGCACTTCCATGTTAAGTTTTCATAACGTCAAGTTTTGGTCTGAATTGACTTAACGTTTTCATTAAGTTATCACATACTTCAAAAACATCTCTACCTCCAAGAAATAATGGAGGTAGAACCTACATTTGTAGTGTAATTTTACTTACTAAGTTATCACATACGACTTACGTTTGTAGTGTAAAAAAAACGAAATAGTCAAATTTAGAATTCCAAAACATCAATACTAAGACAAGTTTAGTAAAACACATCCCTTATAAAAACTTCTTTAAGGGGATGTAACAGAGGGAGTATCTAACAAAAGGCTGGAACGATTTCAACGATATGCTAGTGTATCTTTAAACATTTTGGCAACAAAATAACACTACAAAAAGCATTAAGCAAACACTATGGTAATATTAGATTAAGGGAATTACATTGCAAAGAAGAGAAAAGAAACTTATTAACTGCAATATACGACTCATTAACTAAAAGAACTCAGGTAACCAATCCATCATCGCACTGGTCTACAACAATCAGACTACTGAACTTATAAAAAAGGTTGCAGAAATTTTAACTTATGATTTATGATAAATTTTAATCATTTTAACTTTATACCAAATATACTAATAAACACTTCTTTTAATTTACACAAAAACTCTAAAAAGATTAAAATACTTAAAATAAACCAATTCAAACAACCTTTTAAAAAGCAGAAACAGTAAGCAAGACTTGTTTTAATAGCTACTCTTACCATTTCCGACAAATTTCCAAACCTTGAGTCCTCAAAAAAAAGGTTGCACTAAAAAGACATGCTATAAATGATTTGAAATAATTTCGTACATCAACAGGTCCAAAAATTTTATAAAATTGCATCGTAAACAAAACCGTCTGTTATAAGAACTCACATATCTAATTTTAACCAAAAAGAACTTTCTAAAGGAGTCAAGTTCATTCCAAGCCAGTAGCAGGAGCTGGGGTAGGGGTCACTTCTGGTACACCAACTGGTGCAGGAGGAGCAGCTGCGGCATCCCAACCTCCATCAGCCACTGAAATATATGGAGACAAAATATGGCATTATATATAGAAGAGAAAAAATACATCAAATCAGCAGACGTCAGCAAAGTTACTCAACCACAACAGATATCATATTCTTTTTTTTCTTCAAAAAAATGCATTCACAAAGTAGAACACCAAAGATGAGATGAAAGAATACAGCATCACGGAATTGAGAGGTTCTGCATCCACGGACTTTAATAACTAGGTCCAGAAAATATGTCACTAACCTGCTTCTCCAGACCAGCCACCGGTAGCTACAGAAACAGATGTTGCACCATCTGCAGCCCATTGAGCATCAGGGATTTGGCTGCTAGTCCAGTCACCACCAAGAGCAGCACCACCATATTCTGCATAATCAGCAATAGCAGGTACTTCCTCTTCTTGTTGATCTTTTGCCTCTTCAGGCTCTCTGTAAAAGAAGAGATCCACCTAACAGAGAAAGAAATTAAATGTGAGAATTGATAGATGTTCAACTGCTACAAGATACATACAACACATGATTAAATTCTGGGAACACCAAATGAAAATGAAACTTGAAATCATTATTCAAACTTAAGAACAATTAAACTAGTACAGCAACTAAGGAAAAAATTATGAGCCAATAGATATCCTTCCAGATAGATTTTACCATGACATCCCACTTGGGTCCTGCGCTAATAGTACCGCGCATCTGCAGTACCATCCTTGCTAAGATCCAAAAGAGAACACCAATACTGTGCTTCCCTTTGTTATTGGCAGGGATACCAATGTCAACATAACGCATTGGTGAATCAGTGTCACAGAAGGCAATAGTGGGGATGTTTCCAAGTGCAGCTTCCTTGATAGGCTGCAAATGACTCAAACTAGTTATAAAATGTCAACCAGCTAAAAAAGAAATGAGTGATATTACAGCAGTATCAACCTGGTGATCAGTTCTAGGGTCAGTGAGAATGAGAAGTCGTGGCTCGCTGTATGAAGTCTGAAGCTGATTGGTAAAGGTACCAGGGGTGTGACGGCCAGCAATGGCATGTGCACCAGTATACTGTGCGAACTTCAAGACGGCTCTCTGTCCATAGGGCCTGGCAGATTGCACAATGATGTCCTGAGGATTCTCAATAGAAACAATAACTCTAGCTGCCATATGCAGCTTATCCCATGTCTTTCCAGCGTTAATAATGTAGATACCTGGGAATAAAGGATCGATCAAGATACAAGGATAGTTGTTAGTTCTTACTAAACTAAGAGATACATTACTCTTCTAATACCATGATTATGATGTCATATATATAGCCCAGCCAGAATAAAAATTAATTAGAATCAGAATTCATCACAACTAACATATCATTTTACCTTACTAATAAATCAACAAACAGATAGTATAAATATCAGAGACAAAAAACAGGCATAATAAACAGTAATTCATTGTCAACTGATCTTGAATCTGCTATTCGTCCACAGATAAAAAAAACCATAGCATAGTAAAACACATGATCTATATGGATCGCACATTAATTACCTGAATGTACTAGCACTATAGAGTCAGATTATTATTTTTCAAACATAATAACTAAATTAAACATGCAGCCTATGACCAAACAAGAAAATATTTTCACTAGGTAAATGGATTCAATTTTATCCCCTTCAAATCACTAGTAAGTATCAATATCCTATTCTAACGAATATAGTAGCTTTTACGAAGTACATATTTATAACCATACATTCCGATACCAGCACGTAAATACTAGGGGAAAATCATGTAAATACCTACTAAATTATCATTATGGATCTAGAACAGAATGAAAATGAGGATATTTGCAGTTTAGTATAGTGAACTATAGAGTATACCGTCGTTGCGACGCTTGAAGACGTAACGTTCCATTTGGAAGTCACAGTTCTTAGTACCGAGGTGGACTTCAGCTGCCAACATCAACTGTATGTCAGCCTCTTTCGTCGTCAATGTCCTTGGTTGCTGTGTGATTGCCGCCATTGTTGTGCTCTGTTACTCTCCCTTAGCTTCCTCTGCTTTTAGGGTTTCACTGCGGCTGGAGAGAAAACACTAAAGGAACGCAGAACCATTAAAAAGCTCCTTTCGTTGGGCTTTAATGTTGGGCTTGGGCTTTGCTACCTTTTAAACCCTAGTGATTCGGCTCTTACAATGGAAACATGATTAATTTTTTTAAAAAAATATTAGTAACGCTTAATTATTTTAATTTTAGTAAGGTAACAACATGAAATGATATCAATTTTAAGGAGTAAATTGACTTGTTAAACTTGTCCGTATGCTAAAAATAAATGAGTCAAATATATATTCACCTCTCGCAATTGAAAAAAAAAAGTTCTTTAAGCAAGAATTTGAAATAACCTTAATTACAATCGAAAGGAATGAGATGCAAAAATAGCCCTAAATTGAGAAAGAGGAGAGGGGAATTTATATATGTAAAAAAGATAAAAAGGGGTCCTCAATGCAGTGAAAAAAAATATAATGAGATTTTGTAGGGCTTGAACACATGACCTCATAGAGTTTTTGCAACCTTCTAACTAATAGACTAAACCTTCAACTTGTTTCAAGAGGTATCAATTCATGTATTTATATTTATTAAACTAAATTTTGACCTCTATATACAACGTAATTTTCCGACGAAGACCAAAGGTAGGTCTGCCCTTTTTCTTATACACTTCACAATCGTATTCTACTCAAAAATCCGTAAACAAAATATCTCTCTTCTCTGCGAATCATTTTTTGAACTAATGAAATCCATAACATAAAGGGGGATTTGATTGAGTATCGAGGAGTCAAGGAATTTAGGCCCAAATACCAAATGAAAGTAGATCAGTTTTTTTTCATTCCTGAAGAGGTGCATATCTTGCCCAGATCTTCTTCCATAATGGTACGGAACAATAGTATCGTTGGGGTTGACAATTCCAATTCGAATCGACCAATTGAATCCGGTATATTTTCCACGTTCATAGGAGTGCGTTTATATTTCTGCTTTACGAATATGATTTTTTTTGGGCATTTCTAATAATATCCATCCTTGTTCCTATTTTGGCATTTTTCATTTCCGGAGTGTTAGCCCCGATTAGCAAAGGGCCGGAGAAACTTTCTACTTATGAGTCGGGTATAGAACCAATGGGCGATGCTTGGTTACAATTTCGAATCCGTTATTATATGTTTGCTCTAGTTTTTGTTGTTTTTGATGTTGAAACGGTTTTTCTTTATCCATGGGCAATGAGTTTCGACGTATTGGGTGTATCTGTATTTATAGAAGCTTTCATTTTCGTGCTTATCTTAATTATTGGTTTAGTTTATGCATGGCGAAAGGGGGCATTGGAATGGTCTTAGCTCCTGAATATTCAGACAATAAAAAGAAAAACGGAAAAAATAAGATTGAGACAGTTATGAATTCCATTCAGTTTCCTTTACTTGATCGAACAGCCCCAAATTCAGTTATTTCAACTAAAAAGTAGTTACTACCTGGGCTACACTTATTGAGACTATAACTCATAGGGAAGAAAATAGATTTATGGATGGAATCAAATATGCAGTATTTACAGACAAAAGTATTCGGTTATTGGGGGAAAATCAATATACTTCCAATGTCGAATCAGGATCAACTAGGACAGAAATAAAGCATTGGGTCGAACTAAAAGATTCATATGAGAAAACATAAGTAAACGGGCCTCTACTTGAGCCTCCAAGGATAAAGGTACATGAACAGCCATTTGATCTCCATCAAAATCGGCATTGAATCCCTTGCAAACTAACGGTAATATGTTTGACCCATTTTAATTTTAGCAGGTCAACCAAGTGGAACGGGTCAATTTACTAATTAAAATGGTAGACTTTTAAAAAAATGACTTAAAAATCTCACATTAGTAGTATTTATCCAAAAAATCTTGAATGATTTTTTTTAGGTGAAAATGATAATAAATAAATGACATTTCTATGATAAAACAAAGAAAAATAACTTTTTGAGATAATTATCTATAATTGAGAAATCAAGTCATAAAAATTTAGATGGTATAATTAGAGGTATCAAAAAGACGGGTTGAGTATGAATTTAGACAAGACAAAGTGAATTGAATTAATAAATAGTCGGGTAATTTATTTGAAATAACCCACCCAAAATTACTTAAACTGAAATGGACTAAAATATAGGTCATTACTCAACCCATTCATCTACTAACTTAACATGTTTTGACTTACTCATATTCAACCTAACCCTAAAAAATTTAATTATTTTATTTGTTCTTTTACAATTTTTTCTAGCACCTTGTAAAATCATTCATTTGCCCATTTGACACTTCTAATTTAAAATGATGGAGTAAATATTTGCACGACCTAAATCGGATTTACAAAATAACACTTTCACTAGTCACATAAAGATTAAATTAAAATAGGGTAACTTAATAGGTGTAATCTATATCTCTCTCTCTATATATATATAGATATAGACAAGGTAATGTAACACCTCTTTATGGCCTTCATTCATATTTATTTATTTTTCTCTTTTTTTTAAAATTTTTTCTTTCATTTATTACTATACAATTATACATTTAGTAATTAAATAAATCATCATATTTACTATATCTAATTATATTTCATGAGTTACAAAAAAACCCTCTACCTATTTGCAATCTCTACTTAAATAACATGTCTCCTCAACTTCATTCTACCAAAAACTTTTCAATCCATCTATAAATAACAATCTTCTATGGAGTTGTTAGCTACTCAGCTTCATCTTCTCTCTTTTTTTTAATCAATATATCTTCTCCCTTTTTAATTTTTTCCTTCATTTGGTTCGTTAATCATGTGATTAATAATCAAAAGAGGTGATATAGAAAAAGTGATGTGACAATTTATTATATCTTTGATGAAGATTATAGATATATTCTTCAAAAAAAATCTTATTAATAATAGTCAAACACAAGTTCATCAATATGAAAAGAAAGTTTGATCACAGTGTAAGATCCACCAAAGAGAAACTGTCAGATTAATTTGATTCAAATTCATCAAGATATGACAAATAAAGTTTAATGACGGCGGCGAAGATCTTCAAGAGATAGTCAAATTAGTTTGATAAAGTAGAAGTTTAAATGATTTACAAATATATATATATATATATATACTTATTATTGCTTATTTTAGTACATTTAGATAGTTATTTCTCAAAATAGAAGAGGTATATCCTCAAGGACAAGATGCTATTACAAAATTTTGTATATCTAAAGCAAAAAAATGGTCTTCAACTAATAGAGGGAATCATTGGTCAAATTTTATTTTTAAAATAGATTTAGCAATTACACTATTTTATTTCTTCAATCTTAATATTGTCATTTATTGCATTTTTGTGTGTCTCTCTTCAATATATCAATTATACTTTTTTATTAATCTTTAATCTTATTTTCTAATTAAAGGATTAAAAGAATAGCAATAGTACTATTTATTTTTTTCAATCTTTTTTGCTTTTTTACTCTGTTTTTATTGGTATTTTATTTTGGGTTAATTTCTTTTGCTCTTTGTTCACTTTTTAGTTAGTAAATTACTATAAAGTTCACTCATTATTTATATTTTTAATAAAAGAAACGGTAATGATTGTGCCCAATCGTTACAATCTTCTCATATTCTACTAGATATAGGACCCCGTGCCAGCACGGGGCCCAATATATATATATTTTTTAATTTTAATTTATGTCATATTATGGAATTTGAGAAGTTATTGAAATTTTTATATGATTTTAAAAATATTTTAAATTGTTAGCTATTGTGATTTGTAGTACTTTTTTTAACATAATTTTGAAAATAATATTTATTAATCTATTTGTTCTAATTTATGTGGCAGATGCATAATTTCAAATATTAACCCTTTTTTATATGTCTCTTTAATATATTAAGTTGTTAATTATTGTATTTTATAGTACATTTTGAACCTAATTTTTTAATAATATATGTTATTTGCCATGTCCCAATTTATGTGGCATTAATTGATAGATTTGTTGGAGTCGAGAGATTTATTTTGTTAATTATTGTAATTTATAGTTTCTTTTTCGTCAATTTCAAACAATATATGTTTATCATATAATCCATTTTATGTGGTACCAATAGAATCTAGAGAGTTAATTAAATTTTTTATATAAGTTTTAAATAATTAAGCTGTTAATTATTGTAATGTATAGTATTACTTATATTATTTTTAAATATATTTAAATATTATATGTTAGGTTTTTTATCCTAATTTATATGGCATTGATAGAATTTAAAGTGTCAAATAATTGTTAATTATTGTAATAGATAATATGGAGTATTTAAGTCATTTATAGTATAGTAATTAATATATAATATGTAGTATTTAAGTGTTATATTATGGAATTTGAGAAGTTATTGAAATTTTTATATGATTTTAAAAATATTTTAAATTGTTAGCTATTGTGATTTGTAGTACTTTTTTTTAACATAATTTTGAAAGTAATATTTATTACTCTATTTGTTCTAATTTATGTGGCAGATGCAGAATTTCAAATATTAACCCTTTTTTATATGTCTCTTTAATATATTAAGTTGTTAATTATTGTATTTTATAGTACATTTTGAACCTAATTTTTTAATACTATATGTTATTTGCCATGTCCCAATTTATGTGGCATTAATTGATAGATTTGTTGGAGTCGAGAGATTTATTTTGTTAATTATTGTAATTTATAATTTGTTTTTCGTCAATTTCGTCGACTATTTTTTTTATTAATTATTGTAATTTATTGTTTCTTTTTCGTCAATTTCAAACAATATATGTTGTTAATTGATAGGTTTTTTGGAGTGGAATTTTTGTTTATTAATTCTTGTAATTTATTGTTTCTTTTTTGTCAATTTCAAACAATATATGTTTATCATATAATCCATTTTATGTGGTACCAAGAGAATTTAGAGTTAATTAAATTTTTTATATAAGTTTTAAATAATTAAGCTGTTAATTATTATAATGTATAGTATTACTTATATTATTTGTAAATATATTTAA